TTTTTTCTCCCTGTTGGGGAAAACTGATATATGCCTTTGGCTTTTTTGTCTTCCTCTTGATGAATTGTAGGAGTTGTTCGGATGTGGGATTTTGATTTATCCATTTTTGTCTTTTGGTTGAACTCCGTAGACATGAGTATTTTTCAAAACTGATTAACTACTGTATGAAGGTATAGAAAAGACCATTGTAAAATAACCAAACATATTAGATATAGAATGGATTTCCTTTAAACACCCTCTTTAGATTGTCCCATGGGTCAAAGTAATTGTGCACCAACAGATGTTGCTTGATCACAATAAACATTACTCTAGATTTTTATTTTTGTTCCTGTCTGAACAACTTGCAGTTGATAATTAGTCTCCAGGGGGGGCTATTTGCAACACATAATGCTGACAGATATGTCAAAAAATAAAGCAATGAGGGGGAGTTATTACCTGACAGGGGTGTGAAAGATTATAAAATCGCCGTTGAAGTTTCTTTCATCGTAAATCACATTGTTGTGATTCACCTCTGAAATATTAACATCCTTCCAGTCCAAATATTTTCCTTTCTGATTAACTTTTTAAAAACTAACTGTTAATAGTAAAAAATGTTTATAGGTTCAGTTCATGCAACAATAGTCTAAACCCCATTCGGTAAGAAGGTCATCTGCAATAATTAAACATTTTTTATACAAACATCTATATGTCTATTTAGGTAATCTGCAATAATTAAACATTTTACAAATATACAAAAAAAGAATTATGTACATGTAGGTAAGAAAAGTAAAGTAAGATGAGTATTATTTTAGTATATTCTTCTTGGGAAGTTTGAAACATTTTAAAAGACAATATCAGGGAAGAAAAATTAAAATTCTAGTTTCCTGGCTCTCATGCTAACCCTCTGCTTCTTTGAATCACCGACTCAGAACAGGAGCACAGATAACAATGTTTGATTTTTTTTTACCTGCATAATTGTTCCAATTCAGTGACCAGCATTTTTCACAAGGAGGTGGGAAATGGCAGGCCACACATAGAGATAGACAGTCTTACGAAATGTGCAATTTGAAGTCATGCAAATTTTTAGTAAAGTGATTTTTGCTGCAGAATAGTGTAGCCAAAGACACAATATTATTATTATTATTATACAGGATTTATATAATGCCAACAGTTTGCTCAGCGCTTTACAAATATAAAAGGAGACAATACAGCAACAATACAGTTCAATACAAGAGGGTTAAGAGGGCCCTGCTCCTTGGAGCTTACAATCTAAGAGACTGTCTCTGGAAACTTGAAGTTTGGTTATGTTTCTGTCCTCAGCACTGCATTGGGAAATCTCCCCAACTAGGACACATAGAGGATTCAACATTAGAAAGAGGCTTTATCCTTTCCTGCCATATCTACAACTTAAAAAAGTTCTAGTTTAGTCACTATAGACATCATTGTTAAAATGTACTTTACAATGGTCCACGATTTTAAACTCATCAAAATGACATGTGTACATTTTTATTATTTCCCTACAGAACCTTTATTTTATATAGTTAAATATACTTTTACGGTTAAATACAAAGAGGACTTTCTTCCTTCAAAAGGTAAGAGTATTGAAAATATTTATCAGCTAAATAATTTACTCCACTTTTAGTAAAATTGTGAAAAACATTCACATCTGTTTTAATTTTTGTATGTTGAGTATTGTAATTTTCTTTTTTTACAAGTGATTGTTTTCTTTCAAATTTTAAACATTTTAATTATTTTCAAAAGTATCCATACATATTTGCCTGCTCTTACTGAGTTCAAGTGTCTATTGTAGAGGATTTAGAAAAAAAATACATAAGGATCACAATTTCATCACAATTATTTCTTTTTTATGTCTTTTTAACTGTGATGTGATTACATTTTGCACTGTGATATTTTTTTTTTTCGTGCAGTTCCAAGTTTGTGCATTTTCTTTTAAGTGAATAATACATATAATTATAAGTACTTTAACTAAAAATATTTCCAAATTTAGGAGATCTTCATATAACCAAGGAAACTATAGCATATCTTTTTTACTATTTGTATTGCCTTACTTTGTTAAAATATATATTTTTCTTATCCTGCTGCTCCATATTTCAATTACTATATATGTATTTGTAGCAGTCTTATGTATATTATGGAGTTAGATTAATATTCTCATTTTAATGGCTGAAACAATCTCAGCTTTGCAAATTCTACAGTAAAATGTCTATTGTTGTAAATCAGTTCAGAGCTGACCCACAGGCATGTGGTGAGAAGAAGGAACAGTGAGGCAAAGTCACTATGTAAAGGCAGGGATTTTTTCTCATACAATAGGTGCAGGAACTTCCCCCTTCTCAGTCACCCCTTGTCTCTGCCCCTATCCACCTCCCAGCACACTCCCTTGGTTTCCACCCCCTACCCAGCTCACAGTACCACCTCTTTTTGAGAATACAGAACCAGTATCATTTTTGGGTGCTAAGTAATTTGCATGGAATGTTTTAATGATAAGTAAAAAGCAGTAAAAATAGATCCCTGCAGTCAGCAACAAAGGACCCCTTCTGCAGCAGTAGATCCCCCAGCAACACTAGACCCCAGGAACAATAGATCGCTGAGCAACAAAAGACCTCCACAGTAACAATAGGCCCACCCCCAGCAACAATGGACCCCCCTCAACAAAACACCACCCTAGCAACAATAGATTCCCAGCAGCCAGCATCAATAGACCCTCCAGCAACAATACACCCCTTCCTCAACAATAGATCCCTCCCAGCAACAACTGATTTCCCTCCAGCAGGATAAGACCCACCTAGCAACAATAGATCCCCCCAACCAGCAACAGTAGACCACCACGCCAACAATTGACCCTCATGCAAAATTATATCCCCACCAATGCTAATAGATCCCCCAGCAGCCAGCATAAATAGACCCTCCAGCATAGCCCAGCACCCCATTACATACATTCAGTGATGGAAGTGCTGGAAGTGCCGGAACTGCGCTCCCTCAAGTTCAGGTGTGTGTTTTTTAAGGGCAGGACAGTGTCAGCATACCATGAAAGAAAAAACCCTTTGTAAAGGTATTAAGCAGGAAGAAGAGCCTACATATGTAATAAGTAAATATGACTACCCATGTGTTAAAAAAAAGATACCCACATAAATCAGACCTCTGCTGGAGAGGCTGCAGCCAAAAAGGTACCTTATTACACATTTGGTGGAACTGTGCTACACTTGCCACATTTTGAACTGAAGTTAAAGCTCATATATTCCAGATTCTAGAAACTCCACTTCAAGATGATCCTTTGCTGTACTTACTCCCCAATACCTCTTGAACCATAAAATTCTATAAGATAAGTAGAGTACCACATCTTCCTAATGCTGCCAATCCCAGCTCTATGAAACAATTACTATCACCAATCACTTGGAAATTGATTAACAAAATTATTAGTATTATGAAGGCTCAACAATGGAGTTTTTCTCAGAATATTTAATATGAGACATGTTATGCTACTTGAGCAATATAGATACACCATCAAAGCGAAAAACATTTTCAACATCCACACAGTCACCCGTGACCAATTCATGAACTTCACTTAGCCTTTAGAAATCTCTCCTCTCAATATGCTCAGCCTTGGTATTACTGTTCTAGCAAGCCTGTTGGTTAATGGTTGATCCCTCCTTTACCCTCCATTTGTTTAGTGTGCATCTTTTGATTTCATGGCCTTAACCACCAAGAGTTATTACTCTCTCAAACACTGACACATCGTTTCACCCAGGCCAGGAAAAACACAACAGGACGCACTCTCTTCGTGCACTACCGTGGTATCAAATGCTTTTTTATAAAAAAAAAGTGACAAAGTCATACTTACAAAAGGACCATGAAAACAGACATGTAGCCAAGTGAATCAGTCCTAGGTAGCGGGGGTCCTGTAGAACAGGTTACCAGTTGTAATAGTTGATGCGTTTTGGGAGACGCACTCCCTTCCTCAGTGCCAAGGCAACCAGACATTGAAGTTTGATTTCCCCATCTTCAGAGGGCTGCACCTGAACTAGTGACAGTTACCCCTGAGATTCTGCGGAGCACAAAGATTTGAGCACTGGTGGTGGTTTGACTTAGATTGTGTCACCTGGAATGGTTTGAATATTGATGTATGCCTTTTTGGTGAAACAAAATAAAGATTATATAAAAAAAATAAATGACCAAATCATTTTTGTTTCACGGCAAGGGCAGATCGACCATTTGGAAACTCAGGCACTGCCCGAGGGCCCTGGGGTCAGTAGGGGGCACCCCATGAGATGCCCCTGGTACCTTTTTCATAGGCTTTTTTGAGTTTGGGCAAGGACACAGGGGCCCCATGATCCCCTATTGCCCAGGGGCCCCATGAGTTGTCAGTCCGCCCCTGTTTCACTGTAAAGAAATCCATGCCACCTAGTTTAAGTGGGTTTACTGTACACAGGGGTGTCCCTAGGGTTGGTGTCACCCAGTGCGATAACACTTGGTGACACCCCCTCCGATGATCCCCGCAGATTGGATCATATGTGCGGATTGAGCATAATAGATCAGAGTCCAATCCATTATTTCTCCCCAATCCGCAGATCCGATCCATCCTGCAGGATCGTCAGCAAGCAATCTCCATCCTGTGGGGATCATCGGCTTGCTTTACAACTTACCTTTTCGTGGAGCGGGTCCGGTGTCACCCCGTGCTGTAGGTGTCACCCGGTGTGGCGTGCACCCCCCGCATCTGCCTCGGGATGCCACTGACTGTACATACTACAGAGCAAAGATAAAGCCCATGCCTTTTTTCCCATTTTGATCCATAAGTCTAAACACTTTTTTGTGACAATGCACTAAAACAGATTATGTGATAACTGGCTGAAAAAAAACAACAAATCACCACTATTGTGTATAGCTTGAACACGTGACTGCTTTCAGTGTTTAGCATGCTATCATGCTGACTATTTTCTCATTATCTCCCATGGTAGACATCCTTAAGTATGTGTGACAATGGAACAAGAGTTACAGAGTTTTTCATGATCGGTTTCAAGAATATTTCAGACCTGAAGATCCTGCTTTTCATTCTGTTTCTGATCACCTACATCCTGATATTAATTGGAAATTTCTCTATCGTTGTATTGGTGTCAACATGCTATCATCTCAATGTGCCCATGTACATTTTCCTGAGAAACCTTTCCTTGGCAGATGTCCTTTTCACCACCAATATTATGCCAAATATGTTATATGTTATACTGGAAGAAGGAGCTGGTATTTCCACTGCAGGTTGCTTTATTCAATATTATGTTTTCTGTGCTTCCACATACACCCAATCTTTGATTCTTACTGTGATGGCTTTTGACCGCTATTTGGCCATATGCCATCCATTGCGTTATTCTTCCATCATGAACCAAAAACTCTGCCTCCACCTTCTTTGCTGGCCTTGGGCAATCTCTTTTATCTTCTTCCCAATTGAAATAGCTTCTCTGTTCCAGGTAAAATTTTGCGCTTCCAACATTATTGAACATTTCTTCTGTGACTTTGCTCCAATTCTAGCCATTGCTACTTCAGACACATCAACCGTAGAGACAGAAGACTTCATGTTTTCGATTCCCCTAATGTTTATGCCATTTGTGTTTGTTACCACCTCCTACTTCTGTATCTTTATATCAATACTTAAAATGACATCTATTGCAGGTCGATGGAAAGCTTTCTCTACGTGTAGTGCCCACCTTGCCACCATTTTTGTCTTTTATGGCACTCAGATCACCATATATATCTTTCCAGTTGGAGACAATACATTTTATGGCAAAACTGTGAAATCTCTTTTATATACTGTCCTGACTCCATTTGTGAACCCAATTCTCTATAGCATGAGGAACCATGAGATGAAGAGAGCATTACTGCAACTATTTCATAGGAACAACAAAAAAAACATACCCTAAGTTTAAATAGATATGTGCAAAATTGGCATTTTCTTTGGATTAAAGTAGTCGGATTAGACTAAACACCGTTTTTGATGTGGGGAATGATAGGAGACTCTTGCAGGTTATTATTTCTATACAAAATAAAGGTTAAAGAGAGTGTTAGACCAATCATAATGATCAAGTAACAAATCCTACTGCCATACCAGCTGCTGGGGGGATCCTACCATTTCCTAACCACTTAAAGTGTTACTAAACCCACAACAGTAAAATCAGTCTGTATATGCAGTAAAACATGCTTGTTATCTCACTGTGGAACATAAGGAGTTAATCTTCTGCATTGTATAAAAATGCAGTTTGATACTGACTTTTCTGATCCTTCCCTTCTTCCAGTGCCCCCTCTTATCTCCTGATAAGACATATTGTGTGGAGTCACTCAGCACATGCTCAGTTTGGTGTGTATTGGTAGAGAGGTTTGTTTTTTCTTGGGAGAGTGCATGTGATCAGCACAGGGCCAATCAGCACTGTCCAGACAGAGGTCAGGGGTTCTGCATTCTTCTAGAGCAGAAAGAAAACTCCTCCTACAAGCTTTAACATGTGCTCTGCTGAACACTGATAGAAGTCACAAGACTGCTCTAACTGCTGATGAGAAAAGGTATTTAACAGTTTACATTTACTAAAATAATTGCATTTCCATGCAGCATGTACTGTGGGAGACCAGATAGAGTGAATGGGTTTAGTAACACTTTAATTCCTGGGGCCCACACTATATGTTATAGGTATTGTAATCTACCCTATTGTATTATACATGATTTCATTTGGGACAATTTGGTATAAATTTAGTAGCAAATTGGGTATAAATTTAGTACCAAATGGAGATACTTATATTTTTATTTCATTGGCAATAAATAGTATATTATAATAAAATGCATTTTCTGTAAATTTTCCCAACAAAACATTTACATAATTTATGCAATGAAACGGTACGAAACCCAGTCTCCACCCAAACGCGGAAGCTCCGCTTATCTGCCTCCTCCCCCCCTCCACTGCCATATTTGGCACCTTTTAGGGGGGAGTTGGTATCTGGTTTTGACATTTACCTGATTCCACTTCCGGCTCAATTCGCCACAGCAAACTGAGCCATAAGTCTCAGACCCCCCCAGAAGCCTGTGGCCCATTCACAAAGTGCAGTACGATTCAGGCATGCACAGTAGGAAACTGTCTGTGAAGCCACAAGGCTTCACTGCTGGTTTCCCTTAGTCAAGATGGCAGCGTGAGCACCCAACAGCTGATTGAAGAATTGAGGACACCGCTGGATCCCTGGACAGGTAAGTACCCTAGTATTAAAAGTCAGCTGCTACAGTATTTGTAGCTGCTGACTTTAAATTTTTGGGAGGGGGGGGCCGGAACTCTTCTTTAAATTGTAAGCCCTGAGTAAATCCAAATTAGTGAAAAACTTTGTGTATCAAAGATTATGGAATAGTCCTGGAAACAGGAAGCTGGTAACATTTTCTATGGTGACCTTGCAAAAGGTATGTTATTCTAAATAGGAATGCAGGTTGCGATCCTTTTTCTTAATGGAAAAGATGCTGGTCGCATCAGTCTTTCATGCTCTCTTCAACTATCTCCTTGTTTGGGTTCAGATAGTGGGTAAACCCGACCAAAAGAAAGGAAGGTGACCTCAACTGAAGTCCAGTTGATAACAGGGAAAAGGAGAGATGAAATGAAGTCAAAGCAAAGGTACTTCTGGTGGTTAAAGAGAGGGTTAGTTTCATGGGTAATGGGTCCAAAATTAATGGTAGAACCATCAGCCAAAGAATGGCCTGGGTTGTGACCCAGTGGGTCACGCCTAAATGATGAGTGAAAGACACATCAAGAAAAAAAGGTACACACGCTCCTCTTATAGTTGTTCTGAAAGACCAAGGCAGAACTGATGTTTAAGAGTACTGTCATTCTACTGTGTGTCCATACACCAACAAAAATCAGAAATTTGTTGGGTGTTCCTCAACAAGTCTCCAGCATTGGGGAAGACTAACTAGGGCTAACTTTACTGTGGCCACTTGACAAAGGTCTTTATCAAGTTCATCCAGTACCTCAAACAGGGAATTTAAAGAAGTGTGAAAAATTAAAAAAACAAACATCTATACTCACCTATATGGCTTTGGCATCCATCTGATGCTAAAGCTGTCCCCCATCAGCTCCAAGACCAAGAACCAAGCAATCACATGACTACTGATCGCTCAGTTCTTAGTCTTCACTGAGCACAGCCAGTCACTGGCTCTCTGCTTGCCCCTTCAGTGCTAACTGGAGTTCTGGGATGTGAAGGGGGTGGGAGTGGTTGCCTCAAGCTCTTAGCACCACATTGAGAGGCTGTGCCAGCTGCTGGTCAGGCATCTCGGTGGATCCCGACATTATTGTCGGGGTTCCCGCAGAGCCTGGAATTGCTCTGTGACTTCAGCCTACAGTGAGCTTTAGCCTGCTGTCGGCAGAAAGTGGGTAACAGGAGTGAAGAAATAAGTGCAACTCTGTGACCCAAAAGGGAAGTATGGGTAAAAAAGCTTGGACAGAAACCGCAAGCAACCGCCAGGGAGTAACAGGTACAGGAGGGATATGGTGACAGGAGACCAGAGCGCAGTCATGATCAAGCATGGGTCTTGGCAGGTGGCAAGCAGAAGGAAGTCAGACAGTCCTGGGCCAGCAACAAGCAGAAGGCAAACTGGGCTGGAGATATGAAAGTTGTCAAGTTCAGATAGGGGTCTTGACAGAGGGTAATCAGACTGGGTCAGCAACAAAGAGTGCAGAACAAAAGGCACACAATGAGAACACAGGCAGGCAATGTGGGTCAGCAAGTAACAAAATTCAGTATTATAGCTCTTTCTCAGGGGTAGCTGGTTTGAAGACAAGGTTTTGAAGCCTCTTCAAAGGCTGGAGCCTAACTTACCTTTGGGTCAGAGGACATGCTCTGCATTGTTCAGGGAATGCTGAAAGTCTTGGCAGGGATTCTGTGAGTACCATTGGAAGCAGGGGGATACTGCAAGTACCATTAGAGGTACTGCCAGAGATTCTTGAAGTTCAGTCCTGGCAGAAATTTTGAAAGTGACATAACACAGCTGAAGGTAAATGCTACTACTGTACTGGTATAAAACGTCAACAAGTGGTGTATTATTCGGGAGCCATCAAGTCTTCAATATTAATAGTTTGTGCCTGCTGTGTTTTACAGCCTTTTCTAATCATGACTGCACACAATTCATGAATTCAACAGCCAAGCTGAAAGGGGTGACATATGCCACATGTGGGATTTCCCTCACTTTGGGGAGCTTTCCACTTAATGTCTGTCCTGTTTCTGGAACAGAAAGTAAAAAAAATATCCACACAGAGGACACACGCAGCAATAAAAATATTTCAGATGTTTTAACTCTTCCAAACTTTATCCAGAACTGTAAAATGTTTTTTATTTTTTAAACTTATTTTATTCAAAAAAATGTGTATGCCAATTGTATAAAATACAATCACATGTATCTGTGCAAAGTCATGGACAATATCAAGAAGTATGACATATCGAAAGAGCAATAGTCACCATCACATGTACACACAGATTTCTCGAACAAGAGATAAAAAAGGGATGCAAATGAAAAAACAAAAAACAAACAGGAACAGAAAAATAAGAGAACTGAAAACAGCCATTAATCCATAAGGTACATTACAACAGTTAAAATATTATCATTAAGTGGCATTCATTCACCTGCACTACTGTCTAATTTTACTTTAAGCATGCCCTGACTGTTATATAACACATACTGTATGTCTTGCCATTAGGTGATGCCATTGCTGACAGCATGAAATGGGAAGGGGTTTTCTTTCTTAACCACTTCCTGACCACCCTATAGCAGAACTACTGCTACAGGGCGGCAGGGATGCTCAAAATCACAGATGTTGTATTTCCGGGTAGGGGGGGCGCTTGCGCACTGCCCTACCCTGCCACCATTGGCGGCTACAGCTGTCGATCACCGGATCCCGGCACCCGGCAATCGCCGAGGAACACTGCCAGGGGAGAGGTCTATATGTAAACAATACAAATTTCTCCCCTGTCAGCACCAGCATGCTGCTTTGTATTGCTATGCATAGCAGAGCAATACAAAGCAGCATGCTTACATAGTAAAACACACACAGGCCACATAGTAAAACAGCATACAGTTAATTCTTTGATTGCCCCAGATGTTAACCCCTTCCTTCCCAGTGTCATTAGTACAGTGTCAGTACTTTTTAATAGCACTGATCACTGTATTAGTGTCACTGGGGATGTCAGTGGCAGTTAGTCAGTCCCCCCTCCAGTGTCAGAATGCCCTCTGCAGTCCCGCAATAAGTCACTGCCATTACTACTATAAAAAAAAAATTCCAGTATATATACCGCCATTTGTAGACGCTATAACTTTCATGTAAAACAATTAATTTACACGGACTGGGATTTTTTTTTAAAGACATTTAGCAGAATACATTCTGGCCTAAATATATGAGGAAATTTGATTTTTCAATTTTTTTTACTGGATATATTTTTAGCAAAAAGTAAAAAATATTGTTTTATTTTTCAAAATTGTCATTTATTTGTTTATAGCACAAAAAATAAAAACCGCAGAGGCAGTCAAATACCACCAAAAGAAAGATCCATTTGTGGGGAAAAAAAGGATATTGTTGTTACATGTACCACATAGCCAGTACTTGCCAGATATTACTGCAGCTCCTTTAATGTTGCTGTAGGCCTTTTGGCAGTCTCCCAGACCAGTTTTCTTCTCATCTTTTCATCAATTTTGGAGGGATGTCCAGTTCTTGGTAATGTCACTGTTGCACCATATTTTCTCCTCTTGATGATGACTGTCTTCACTGTGTTCCATGGTATATCTAATGTCTTGGAAATTCTTTTGTACCCTTCTCCTGACTGATACTTTTTAACAATGAGATCCCTCTGATGCTTTGGAATCTCTCTGCGGACCATGGCTTTTGCTGTAGGATGCGACTAAAAAAAT